CATATAACTTTTTTATAGCAATAAATTGCAGCAATTGCTAATACTATAACTGCTATTGTTAGTTTTGTTGTAMTTGACAGTGTCTTGTCATTTCTTTTGGATAAATTTTTTGTTAAACTGTCAGAAAGATCAGAACCTGGAATCAAGCATAGGTTTCTTGACTGGCTTTACAGTGTTCCCTATGAATAGCACATGCAGTATTTTCATTACATGACCAAATAGGTTTTGGTGGACATCACTTAAGTCATTTCCATAACATTTGGATCATGTCATGGRAACACTTTGATTGACATCCAACGTTGCTAAATGGTAAAATGTAAAATTTCACATGTGTGATTGGGGAGCACTTTATAATCAGGATGGTAAAGGGTTATTTCCTGAAACACAATTGACTTTTTTTATTTTTCATGGAGTGTGATTCCTACCCCCTCCCCCTTACTATTGTCTGGGAAGCAGCTACAAAATGTCATACCTACAATAAAGGCTTTTTAAAAGGATTTTCTATTCTCATGTCCAAAGGAGGTTGGAGGTAGGAAGTATGATTTGGTGAAAGTCTAAATTTCCTGTAACCTTATTTAAGGACTCCCCTAACATTGTTTAATTTTTTGTTTGTTTTTCTTTGGCTATTGGAAATACTCGTAACCAGCCTCAGACTGCTGGCTTTATGAGACACTGAATAGTCCCCTTCATACAATGATAGAGACCTTTTTTAACACCTTGAGCAATATTATCCGTCTCCATCATTGAAAGCTCACCGTTTGTCTCGCTTTGATGCAAAGTTACAGTTACAGTACCTTTCAAGATGGCRCAGGGAACTTTGAAAGGTACTTGTAGTACAATTCCTTAATATATGACAAGTTTATTAGACATGTAAGCATAATTAAATATTTGTTCTAATAAACATTTAATTGTATTGTAGCACAATTCCTTAATATATAACAAGTTTATTAGACATGTAAGCAATAATTAAATATTTGTTCTAATAAACATTATGTGAAACTGTGTCATTTTAACGATTACTTAGCGACAGACATATTTGTTTTGCTCTGAAGACTTGGGAATAGAAGTAAGGAATGTATATATGGATTTAATCACAAATTTTAAGTTTGAGCTATGAATATCATGAGAATAAATGCTTATCAATCTATTTACATAATCATTTTTAACTTGTTTCTCCCATGACAGGCCATCCCACATGCCAATGCCTTGTAATATTATTTGTTGCAACTGAAACAAATAAATTCACAAAAGAATTATCTTGGACAGTCTAGATAATAATAATAATAACAATAATAATTTATTAAATTTCTATAGCGCTATATACATTAACTCTATAGCGCTTAACAACTAGGAAAAACAATAATAATAATAATAATAAATACATACAAATAAAATTTCAATATATTTAAAAAAAGAAAACTAAGAAGGTGAAAAATTATAAACTATATTAAAAGCATATTAAAAGAAATGTTCAGTCCATTTGTAAAACTTAACATATTATATGCAACAATCACTAAAAATTTAAAATAGAAATATTACAAATTGTAAGCATCGCGGAACAGAAATGTTTTTAAGAGTTTTTTAAAGTGATCAAAATTAGTACATGTTTTAATTTCTCTTGGTAAAGTGTTCCATAGACTGGCTCCCGCAGATGCAAAAGATCTTCCACCAAATGTCTTGTGTTTGATTTTGGGTACTATAAGATCGTTATTTCCATCAGCTCTGGTTCCTTTCATGGGTCTTTTTTTCGTCATCTCGTCTAGCTACGATGGTGCAAGACCATTTATTGTCTTGTAGGTTAGATACTCAAAGCCCGACTTTTAATCTTAAACCAGGGTTAAAGTATGAGTGCATGCAGGCTATGGCTGCTTAGACATGGAAAAATACCACACCCAAGATAAACAGGTCTACTTTATTTATTGAAATTGAATAATGTATCAATGAGGATCAGATGTAGTTAAAAAAGATTTTTAGCATTTAGGTATACAACATCCAATAAATGATAAAAACAATTAAAACATATGTCACGAAAGTTAATCGGCCCTCTAATAAAGGACAATAAAAATGTTTTGTATTTTTGAACTTTTTCTCATTTTTTAAATAATTATATCATTAGACCTTTACAGACCATAATTTCATTAAAACGTGCTAAAGCTAAATCATACTAAATGTTCTAAAGGTGTTTTAAATGGTTAGTACTTTGAGTTTTATCCCTAATCATGCATATCATTTTTTGTTTTTAGTAAAGAACTGAAGACGCCCTATAGGAGTTTACTGGGTTGCCTGTATCGTGCATAGAGATCTAGCACAGCTGAAGAAGTTTGCAATGTTAGCCAAAAGATAATGGAATGTTTCACAGAAAAGAAGGATTTCGTTTAACTCGTCTAAAACGATTTTCTCTCTTAAGGTTTTCTCTACATAACACCAATATAATTGCAGTTTCTGCCCTTTCGTAGGCTATAAAATAAACAGTTTTGCGTTATGCATGTCACACTACTTGTGAATTTGAACTTGCGCCATGACGCAACAAGATCAATGTTCTCAGTAGTCAGAATCATCAATTAATCTTTAATCTTTTTATCATCCTTGGTTATTATATTATTTACTGGGGTGGCTGTTTATTTTCCTTGTCAAAAATGCAGAAATTGCGCAATAGTACCCAGAAGTGTTCACGGCATCACCCACTAGTCCTTTGCGGGCATATGATATAGAGATCCAAAAAATGTTCTTGTCAGCAAACTTTGCCAGGAAAGATAGGATAAAGCATAGCTCTATAACGYCTGATCAGTCCAACTTATACTGGCTCATAAGCAAAAAGACTAGGAATAAATCTTTTTTCACTACGAGAAAAAGATTGCCTTATCGTTGTATATTTAAATCTAATAAGAGATGGATTAAAAA